AGTTAGTTAATTACTTACCCCATTTACTACATACTTAGTTAGGTGTTCTTATAACACTCCTTTCTATAGAATATTATAGCTGAATAAGTTTTCCTTATAGAGATTGCTGTTTGTTGATCTATTTTCTTTATATATGTGTTTTTGTTTTTTATTTAACTATAAAAATCTACTTTCGTATTAAAAATATTATAATTTTTCTTCCATTAAACATCTCTGTTTTTTATTGTCATTAACCAACACTACTGCTGCTAAATTAACATAACAGCTGCCATTTTATTAACATTATTTGACATTTAGCCATTTTGACAATTTTCAGCACACAAACACACAGCTGTTTGCTCGTTTTTTCCAACAAAGAGTAAGCGAGTGAGAGAAAAAGTATAGAAAAGAAGACGCTGTTGGAAAAAAATTGTGCAAAAAGTTTTTCTATTAATTGTGAAAAGAAATTAATGAAATAGTTTTGTTTAAAAAAAGAAGAAAAATAAATTTGTTAATAACAAACTAAACAAAAAGTATTAAACTAAAAGGTGAGTTAGGGTTAAAGCAAAGTTTAGTTAAAAGAAAATTGTACATGTGTTTTGTTGGTGGTGTAGAGGCAAATAAATGGTGGCTGAGTTGGTTGAAAAAATTTAAAGAATTTAATTAAATTAGTTGTTTAATTGTAATAATTTTGATAATTTTATAAAATATGCAATAATATTTTATGGAAAAGTGTACAAAAAGGAAGCGCTTGACAACAATTACAGTGGAGTTTTTTTTGCACAATCGTTGTTGCTGTTCTGGCAGTTGCTTGCTCTGCTGTTGGCTCTGCTGCTGCTGTTTTTTTCTGCCTACATTACTCATTAACAGAGAGTGTTAACTGTTAATCCTGTTATTGGTTGTTATTTGGTTTATGTTAAATTTTAGAGCGCTGCCGGCGTTGACGTCTCTACAGCTGAGTGTAAAATTTATGAGGTTTGTTCAGTCGCCTGTTCAACGTTGTTGAAGCTGCATCTCATCTCGGATATTTTAAAAAAGAAATAATTTGCTTGTTTTCTTTTTTGTCTATAAAAAAAGAGCAATTTAACACCAAAAAAAGAGTTAATTTAACGATCCTGTAGTAAAACTTAAAGAAATTGAAGCAAAAAAAACGCTTTTTTAAAGCAAGTTGCTGTGAGTGAGTGTGTGTTGAAAAAAAGCCGGTCATTGTCCTGTTCTCATTTTATTTGCCGGAAATATTTCTTATCTTTTGCAAAAAACCATTTTTCTGGTATATAGGAGAAATTTTTAAACTTCGGCAACCAGTCTGTCAGTAAAAAGAAAAAAAAAAGACAGTAAAGTTTTTAACTTCGTAAAAAACTGTGTGTGTGCAGCTACAAACAGCAAAAGCCAACGAAGTCGCCGACAACGATAAGCAAACTTGCAGGAAAAGCGACAACAGCAACAACAACTTTGACAGCCAGCGACGTAATTGTCTCTACACCAAAAACCTTTAAAATATTAAAAAAAAGAAAAAATTTTCAATTTTTTCCTTAAAAATCTATAAAATTTCTGTTTTTCTTAATAAAAAACCCTACAGTTAACCCTTTTTAACAACAAGAAAAGAAAAAAACATGGTAACCATGGAAAATGCCGAAGAAGTTATGCAAATTTTGGATCGTTTTACTCGTCTCAAGCAAAAAGAAATACCAAAGGAATTGGATGAATACTTGGGCTATGTGGCCAAGACTGGTGATACCGTTTTTAAATGGGCCTCTTTGAAATATCTTTTTAGAGAGAAACTTTTAAATGTTATAAAAAATTTTCATGATACCACTCCTCGTATAGATGGTAAGTACCCAATAAAAATTTCTCCTTTTTTTAACTAAACTGCCTGAAAGAAAAAGCCGGTTCCCAAATCAAACCGGCCTTTTTTTTCTTTTTTTAAACTCCTGTTATAAAACTTTCTCTTCTTCAGCAATTTTTTTTTTATTTTTAAATAGGGCGTTTTAGTTTTTTATAATTTTTCATATTTCTTTTGCAAATTTTTCATTTATTAAAATTTTTTCCATTTTATTCCTTTGTTCTTTAATTTTTCTCTTGCAAATTGTATATTTTTTTTGCTCACTACTCTTTAATGCAAAAAACAACAACAACAACAAAATCGCTCTATAAAAGCAAAAACACAAATAAGAGCAAAGTAATAACAGTGGTTGATTTCACTTAAGTTTATAACAAAAAAATTTATAAAAAATAGTTTCAAAAACCAACAAAAAAACCTAAACTTAAAATTTCCTTCAATTTTAACAGTTAATTTAATAAACCAATGTTAACTCTAGGATTATGTTAACTTAAAGTAATATAACAGCAGTAATAAAGGAATATGTACTTTAAACAGCCAACAGAGCTGGATAATTGTATAGGTTGTTAATTAACAAAATAACATTCAAAAAGTACTTTTTTACTTATAAAACTAATAAAATTAAACAAAAACTATTTAATTTTAGATTTTTTATAGAAAATAAGTAATAAACATGAAAAAGTGTCCAGGAAAAGTGTAAAAAAATGTGTTACAAACAAGGATCTCTATCTAAAAAACTAATATATGGCAATTTTTCTATAGAAAAACTATTTATATGAAATTTTTCCTTAGAGAAACTTTCTTTAACATTTTTTTTTTTATAAAATAAACTGTTATACTGAAAATTTTTCAATAAAAAATGTTATACCGCTAATTTTTCTATAGAAAAACTACTATACTAAAGATTTTTCTATAGAAAAACTCATATACAAAAGGTTTTTCTAAAGAAAAACTGTTAAACAGAAAATTGTTTAATGAAAAACTGTTATACTGTAAATTTTTCTACAAAAAAAACTATTATACTGTAATTTTTTCTATAGAAAAACTATTATACTGTATATTTTTTTATAGAAAAACTATTATACTGTAAATTTTTCTATATAAACACTTTTATATTGAAATCTTTTCTAAAGAAAACCTGTTATACTTAATATTTTACTACAGAAAAACTGTTATACTGAAAAATTTTCTATAAAAACCTGTTTTTCGATGGAAAATCTGGTATACAAAAAATTTTTCTAATGGGAAGCTGTTATACAAAAGATTTTTCTAAAGAAATAACTGTTATACTCGATAATTTTCTATAGAAAATATGTTATTGTGAATTATTTTCCAAAGAACAATGGTTATACACAATATTTTTCTGTCTAAAATTTGTTCTATAATAAAAATTTGCTGTATAACAGATTTTCTATATAACAAATCTCCTGTATAACAGTTTTTCTTCGGATATTACAGTTTTCTGTAGAAAATTTCTTAGTATAATTATTTTTCTATAGAAAATTTTTCAGTATAACAGTTTTTAATAGAAATTTGTTCAGAATAATAGGTTTCCTATAGACAAATGTGCAGCAAAACAGTTATACTATAGAAAACATTACAATATAAGAGTTTTTCTATACAAAATTTGCCCGAATAAAAATTTTTCTCTAAAAAAATTTTCATTATAACAATTTTCTTATAAGATTATATTTAGTATAACAGTTTATCAGTATGATTATATTTGTAATAACAGTTTTTCTATAGAAAATATAGTATAATATAGTTTTCTATAGTAAAAAGTGGAGCATAACAATTCGTATAGAAAAATGTTCATTATACAGGTTTTCTTTAGATAAATCATGAGTATAACAGTTTTTTTTTTTTGTTGAAAAACAAAATTTTTTCAGTATTACAGTTTTTTTTTAAAAAATATATTCTGTATTATTTCTTTTTCTCTATAAAAATGTACAGTATAACACTTTTCCTTTAGAAAATTTTCATCTTTAGACAAATTTCTGCAAAAAAGTTTAATCCCATGCATATTTCTATAGAAACTTATATTCATTTAACACATTTCTAAAGAAAAGTTTCTCCTAAGTCGAATTTGAATTGTGAAATTTTTCTTAAGCTGTGACCTATTTAGTGATTTTTCAAATTTTTTCCTTTAACAAATAACTGACCCTTATACAAACTTTACAAATGAAAATTAGAAAAGAAAGTTTTTCATTTTATTTAAGCAAAAAATCAAGAAAACCTGCTACATATTGTTTTTTACTTATACTCTTTCTCACATTTTATTCCCCAAATTTCCAGAAAACAAGAAAATAATTTTGAACTTCAACTTTACTTTAAGTATCTTTTGCACATTCATTATAACACAGACTTGTTATTGTTGTGCCACAAAAACAACAACAATCAAATTTATTCTTGGTAAATTTTTTTGCTAAATGAAAAAATTTATTTCACAACATTTTGTGTCTGTGTTTTATGCTTTATTTCTTCGTTTCCACATGTATCGTCATTAGCAGGGATGGAAAAATATGGAGGGGAATATTGTTTTAAAACACAATTTTTTAATAAATACTTTCAGTATAACAGTTTTACGATAGAAACTTAATCGGTATAACAGTTTATCTACAGAAAATTCTCCAATATAAGAGTTTTTCTATAGAGAAATATTCAGCATTTTCTTATATGTATAACAGTTTTCTGTAGAAAAATATTTAGTATAACAGTTTTTTCGTAAGAAAAAGTGCAGTAGAACAGTTTTTCGATCGAAAAATCTTCAGTATAACAGTTTTTCCATAAGAAAATGTTCATTAACTTATAATAAAATATTTATTATAACAGTTTTTCTATATAAAGTTGTTTAGTGTATTATTTTCTATAAGAAAAAATTTATTATAACAGTTTTTCCATTGAATAATTTTCAGTTTCATAGTTTCCCTATGGGAAAATGTTCAGTGCAACATTTTTTTATATGAAAATGTTCTATATAACAGTTTTTTATAAAAAAATGTTTTATATAACAGTTTTTCTATAAGAAAATGTTCTTTATAAGAGTTTTTCTATAGACAAATGTAAAGTATAGCAGTTTTTCGGTAGAACAATTTTCAGTATAAAAGTTTTTCTTATAGAAAAATGTTGAGTATAACAGTTTTTCTATAGAAAAATATTTACCTATAGCAAAATGTTTAGTATAAAAGATTTTCTACAGAAAACAGTTCAATATAACAGTTTTTCTATAGAAAAATGTTCTATATAACAGTTTTTCTATAGGAAAATGTTAAGTATAAAAGTTTTTCGGTAGAAAAATGTTCAGTATAACAGTTTTCCTATAGAAAAATGTTCAGTATAACAGTTTTACTTTGGAAAGAATTCAGTATAACACTTCTTTCTGTTCAGGGTAACAGGTTTTTTATGTAAAATTTTAAGTGTAACAGTTACCTTGGAAAAGGTTCTGTATAACAGTTTTTCTATAGAAAAAAAGTATAATATAACAGTTTTTCTACAGAATAATGTTCTATATAACAGTTTTTCTATAGGAAAATGTTCAGTATAACAGTTTTTCTTCTAGAAAAATGTTCAGTTTAACAGTTTTTCGATAGAAAAATATTCAGTATAACAGTTTTTCTATAGAAAAGTGATCAGTATAACACATTTTTCTATGGAAACATGTTCAGTGTAATAGTTTTTCTTTGGAAATTTTTTCAGTATAACAGTTTTTTTTTAAAGGAACAAAAAAGTTTATTTTTTACTAATATTCTGTCATTCCCATCCCTGCTTGTTTTTAATGATCATCATCCACCATCTTCATCCAGCTCCAGTTCACACACTCAGCACCACAGCACAATGAAAAATTCATTCACTTTAAGTCTGGTTCTAAAAATAGCTTAAACGCAAAATAAAAAAACTTATAAAGGAATCCAACTACAACAACAACATGAACATTTAGCAAAAGGCATTAAGCAGAAAAAAAACTCCCCAAATAAAAAAAAGAACCATTTTTTTTAATGTGTTTTCTTTTAAGCTTTACTTTATGACATTGTTATTGTTGTTTTATTTGCTGCTGCTTTTTATTGGTGTATGTGTGTGTGTGTGTGTTTATTAAACTTAAATATTTGCCAGCCTTTTTTATTTAAATGTTTTTTTTACGTTTTTGTTGTTGTTTATTCATTTTTTTATGCATTTTTCTTTTTAAGCTTTGAATTTATTTCAGTTTCGTTCGTTTACTTCTTTTCTATTGTAATTTGTTTTTGCTTAGTTACTTTATTTAGCCGGCTAGTTTTTTTTTCTTTTTAATTGCTTTTTATTGTTAATTCAAGTCAATTGTTTGTTTTAATTTTTTTTGTTGTTGCTGTTGTTTTCCATTTAAAAATATGTATACTTTTGTATATATTTACCTGAGAGCGTGGTTTAAGTAAAATTTATGTTGCAAAAACGAAAGAGTAATTAAAGAGTTTGTGTTAAAAAGAGAGCAAATATTTTTAATTGTTTTCCTTTTTATCTTTCTTTTTTGCTTAATTATAACTTTAAAATACCTTGTTATCTTCTTGTTTTTTAGGTTTTTTTCTATGAAACCTGTGTTTAAAATTTATAAAATTTCATTAATTTTATTTAATGGTTTTTGGGAGCAACAAAAATTTGCCAATAAAAAACAACAAAACCAAAGCTGTTTAGTTTTGTTCAAAGCAGAAGTTTTGTTTTAAAACTGCGCTGTTTTTGTTTATCACTCTCTGTTGTTTTCTCTGCTTTTATTTATGCAGCTGCAAAGCTCTGCTTTTGTTGCATTTCAGTTCTCTGCTTTGCTAGTTCTGTCAAGTTAACTCTGCTGCTATTGGCAATTAGCAGAAATTTCACTTTATGTTAAAGTTTTTAACATTAAAATGTTTTCGAAATGCATAAAAACAATGTAGACTGCTAACAGCAATGTTAATGTTAACTTGCATTTTTTAGACTCTGTTAATAGCAAATGTTTTCTGCAAACTTTTTCTCTCTTCAAAATGTCTTGCATTATTTACAGTGTTGCCCATTGGCAAAAAAAAATTAAGCTGTAGTTTAAAAAGCTGATTTTTCAATTTGTTGATAATTGAAACTGTTTTTCTATAGATGATTGCTTAGTATAACAGTTTCGCTATAGAAAACTTTCTGTATAACAGTTTTTCTATAAAAAAATGTTTAGTATAAGAGTTTTTCTATAGGAAAAATGTTTAGTACGACAATTTTTCTATAGAAAATTGTTTAGTATAACAGTTTTTCTATAGAAAATTTTTCAGTATAACAGTTTTTCTATAGAAAAATGTTTGTAAAATAGTGTTTTATAGAAAAATTTTCATTATAACAGTTTTTCTATAGAAAAATTATCACTATAATAGTTTTTCTATAGAAAATTGTTGAGTATAACAGTTTTTCTATAGGAAATTGTTGAGTATATCAGTTTTTCTATAAAAAATTGTTCAGTATAACAGTTTTTATATAGAAAATTGTTCAGTATAACAGTTTTTCTATACAAAATAGTTCAGTATAACAACTTTTTTATAGAAAAATTTTGCGTATAACAGTTTTTCTATACAAAATTATTCAGTATAACAGTTTACTTGTTGAAAATATTGAGTATAACAATTGTCTATAGAAGTATTTTCCGAATAACAGTTTTTCTATAGAAAAATGTTCTTATTATGAAAAAACTTTTCAATAACTTCAACCTCTAATCTGTTTCTTATATTTTTTCAGAAATTCCCCAATATCCCAATGTTGATCCCTTCAATTACGAAAGCATGAAATCATCTTTATTGGAACGTTTAGAACTATTCAATGCTGCTCCCTTTACCATTCAACGTTTGTGTGAACTTTTAATTGATCCACGCAAACAATACAGTCGCATTGATAAGTTTATGCGTGCCTTGGAAAAGAATATTCTTGGTAAGTTATTAAAAAAGAAGAAGAAAACTTCATAAAGAAACTGAAAAGTAAAACAAAATGTTAAAATTTAACAAAAAATCAAAGAAATTTGTCAAAACAGTAGGCACAACACTTATAGCGATTGAAATGCAAAAAACGCTAATATAGCATTAAAACCATAACATCTGGCAGCAGTTTTGGTAATGTTTACATTTATCACACAAGGCTGCCACATTGAATGTGTGTTATTTACCTCTTTTTGTTTTTGCTTTTGTGTTGTTTATTTTTTTTTCGCCCACATTTTCTCACACCTTAACTTATTTTCAGTAGTCAGTACCGTGGAGCCAGGACGTAAAAGAACTGAATCAGAAAATGGTGATTCCTTGGATTCTGTGGTCAATGGTGATCTATCATTGGATGTCAATGTAGACATTGATATGGAAGCTGATGGTTTATTTAATAATGCCGAAAATACCAATGGCAATGGTACGGCCAGCAAGGCCGAAGTGGAAGCAGCTAAAGAGGAGAGTAGCAGTAATAAAGCGGAAGAAAAGACCGCCACTAAAAATACTCATGCCAATGATGATGATAATTTGCCAAATCCTAAAAAAGCTAAATTAGATTTGCCGGAAGAGGAAAAACAAAAGGAAGAGGAACAGGAGGCGGCCGTAGAAAGCAAAAAAGAAAAGGAAAGTGAAGAGAAGTTGGTAGAGAAGGAAGAAAAGAAGGAGCTGGTAGCAAAGGAAGAAAAATCGGAAAAGGAAGAGGAAAAGAAAATGGAATGTGAAGAGGAAAAGGTGGAAGAAAAGAAGGTAGAAGATGTTAAGGTGGCAGAGGCTGGCAAAGCGGAATTAAATAAGCCAGAGGAAAAGAAAGAAGCTTTAGAAAAGCCTGAAAAAGTAGAAGATGTAGAAATGGAAGAAAAGGTGGCCGAAGTAGAGAAAGTAGCGGAGGAAGTTAAAGAAGAAAAGAAAAAGGAGGAAGAGAAGGAAACTGAGAAACCACAAAAAGAAGCAGAAAAACAAGAAGAAAATGCTAAGGAAGAGCCCAAACAAAAGGAAGTAGAAGCTCCTGCTAAAGAAGAAGAAAAAGAAGCAATGGAAGTAGATGGTAAAAGCAAGGAAGAACCAATTGTAAAACAAAAAGAAGTAGAAGAGAAGAAAGAAGAAGATAGTAAAGCGGCAGTGGTGGAGAAACAAGAATTGGAAAAGGGTGAAAAAGAGGAAAAGCTAGAAACAGAAAAATCTAAAGAAAAGGCTGAAACAAAAGAAGAAAGTGATAAAGAAAATCAGGAACAAAATGAAATGAAAACAGCAGAGATAAAAGAAAAACCTAAAGAAAAGGAAGAAGAAAAAGTAGAAGAGAAAAAAGACATTCCACAAGAAACAGTAAAAGAAACAGCAAAAGAAGAAAAAGTAGAAGAGAAACAGGAGAAGGAGGAAAAACAAACAGAACAAAAAGAAGAATTAAAAGAAAAAGAAAAGCCCGAAGAAACAAAATCTAAAGAAGAGGAGAAAACATTAGAAAAAGAAGAAACTAAAAAGGAAGAAGAAACTAAAAAAGTAGAAGAAACTAAAAAAGAAGAAGAAACTAAGAAGGAAGAAGAAACTAAAAAGGAAGAAGAAACTAAAAAGACTGATGAAGAAGAATCTTTAAAAGAACAAACAAAAACTGAACAAGTTAAAGAAAAACAAGAAGAAAAAGAAAACACAACAGAAAAGAAACCAGAGGATAAGGTAAAAGAAAAAGAAGAAGAAAAGTTAGATCAAAAAGAATCGGAAAAAGAAATAACTGCTGCCACAGAAGTAAAAACAAAAGAAACTGATGCTGCTGCTGAAGAAACACCGTTAAAGGAAGCTAAAACTGAAGAAACAACAGATAAAGTAGAAACTGAAGCAGCTAACACCCACTCTGCCACGCCTCCTGCACTCGCACTCAATGATCAGCCCATGGTGGAAGATGTAGCCATAGAAGAAGCAACTACTGCGCCTTTAGTGGAGGAAGTAGTAATGGCTGAACCACCACCACCAGCCCCCACAGATGCTAAGGAAGCAAATGTTAACAACTCTAATGCTACTGCCATGGCCACTGATGATACAACTACAGCCACCAATACCAGCACTAATCCCAAACCCGAAGAAGAACCTTCTGGCATGGAAGTCGATGATACCAGTCAAGAAGCCATGGATCAGTAAATTTCAACAATATTTTTCAATATTATTTCATTTAAACAAGAAAAACTCTCTTAACATTTAAGCAAAACTAAGGAAAACGCTTTAAGCGTTTTCTATATAACACGATTCAAAAAGAATGATTATAAAAAAATCCTTAAAAAAAAACATTAAAATTATAAAAAAAACAACAACAACACAAAATCTAAAAAATAGTAATTTTTAGGCATAGAAATTAATGCCCAAACTTAAATTTATATTAAAAATTAAAACAAAACAAAAAAAAAACTCTAAACATTTCAATATTTATATTTATAATTTAAACAAAACAAACAAACCCCCCCTTTAAATACTTAGAAACGACAAAAAAAAAAAGAAAACAAAATAAATTTAAACAAAATAAAAATGACGATATTTTATGGCAAAATACATGAAAATAGAAGAAGAAAAAATAATTAAAAAAATAACTTCCATTTGTGAAATTTTGTTTTAATTTTAAATAATTTCTTTAAAAAAAAAGAGTGATATTTTTTGGTAGTCAAAAACGTAAACTTTTTTAATTTTCCATAATTTACTCCTAAAGGGAACAATTTTTTTTACAATTAAAATTAAAAAAATAAAATAATAATTAAATATTTGTAGAGATTTTTGCTAATTGAAAAAAAAAAAAACCTTTTATAAAACATATTTTTCAGCCGTAACCTACTTTAAGTATTACTTTTTTAAATCATCCCTTTTTAAACCACATGTTTTCATTTGTTTCGCCTGCTTTTGTGTTTATTTTGCTTTAAATTTTATGGCATTTTTATTTTAAATATGTTTTTTTAAACTTAAATTTTGTGTTTCTTTTTAATTAAATTTTATAAAATCATAAAAATTATTTTTTTTTATTTATATAAAAACAAACAAAAAAAACTTCATTAAACATTAAAAACAAAAACTATATTCAATAAAAATTGATATAAAACAAAACAAAAATACATGTAATTGATATACGTATTAAAAAAAAAAACAAAAGAAAAATAATCACAAAGTTGTTTTAATTTACAAATTAAATACAAAAAAAATGGTCCTTCGTAAGAGCAACAGAAAAACACATAGTGGCAACTCTGTCAACTATATGCTTTGACGTTGCAACAATGTTATCAATTGAGTTTTTTTTTTAAAGCGCCAAAGTTTCAACATAAAAACAAAACTGTATGGCATCTCTGCGCTAATTATTTGTTTGACGTTAGAATAGTGTTATCAAATATGCTGCATTTCAGTGTTGTCTATACGAAATGGACAATTATGCCATTAAAATATTGTAGGATTAGTAATGGATGTCTTTTAAAGAATAAGACATCGTTAAAACCTTTAACTTTAGTTCAGTTCCTAGTTAATTCATACTTCAGACTAAGTAGTTCAATTCTATTTCAGATTTTGTTCAGTTCTAATTCTTTTTTAGTTCTGTTCAGTATTAGATCAGTTTTGATTCAATTCAGATCAGATTCTTATTTAAGTTCTAATTTAGGTCTAGTTTAATTCTAGATCAATACTAGTTCAGTTCTTATTCATTTATAGATCAGTTTTAGTTTAGTTTCTGTTCTGTTCTAGTTCAGTTCTAGTTAGTTCTAGCTTAAGTTCTTATTCAGTTCTAGTTCAGTTTTAGTTTAGTTCAAGTTCAGTTCTAGTTCAGTTCTAATTCAGTTCTAGTTTAGTTCAGTTCTAGTTTAGTTCTAGTTCAGTTCTAATTTACTTCAAGTTCAGCTCTAGTTCAGTTCTAATTCAGTTCTAGTTTAGTTCAGTTCTAGTTTAGTTCTAGTTCAGTTCTAATTCAGTTCTAGTTTAGTTCTAGTTCAGTTCTAGTTAGTTCTAGCTTAAGTTCTTATTCAGTTCTAGTTCAGTTTTAGTTTAGTTCAAGTTCAGTTCTAGTTCAGTTCTAATTCAGTTCTAGTTTAGTTCAGTTCTAGTTTAGTTCTAGTTCAGTTCTAATTCAGTTCTAATTTACTTCAAGTTCAGCTCTAGTTCAGTTCTAATTCAGTTCTAGTTTAGTTCAGTTCTAGTTTAGTTCTAGTTCAGTTCTAATTCAGTTCTAGTTTAGTTCTAGTTCAGTTCTAGTTCAGTTTTAGTTCAGTTCTAGTTCAGTTCTAATTCAGTTCTAGTTCAGTTTTAGGTCAATTCTAGTTCAGTTCCAGTTCAGTTCTAATTCACTTCCAGTTCTAGTTCAGTTTTGGTTTAATTTTAGTTCACTTCGGTTCTAGTTCAGTTGTGGTTCTAGTTCAGTTCTAGTTAGTTCTTGCTTAGTTCTAGCTCAAGTTTTTATTCAGTTCTAGTTCCGTTCTAGTTTAGTTTAAGTTCAGTTCAAGTGCAGTTCAAGTTCAGTTAAAGTTCAGTTCAAGTGCAGTTCAAGTTCAGTTCAAGTGCAGTTCAAGTTCAGTTAAAGTTCAGTTCAAGTGCAGTTCAAGTTCATTTCAAGTTCAGTTCAAGTTTAGTACTAGTTTAGTTCAAGTTCAGTGCAAGTTCAGGTCAAGTTCAGTTTAAGTTCAGTTCAAGTTCAGTACTAGTTTAGTTCAGGTCAAGTTCAGTTCTAGATCAAGTTCTTATTCAGATCTATTTAGTTCAAGTTCATTTCTAGTTTAGTTCTAGTTTAATTCTATTTCAGTTCAGTTCTAATTCATTTCCATTTCTTGTTCAGTTTTGGTTTTTCAGTTCAAATTCAGTTCTGTTTTAGTTCAGTTCTAGTTTAGTTCTAGTTCAGTTCTATTTTAGTTCTAGTTCAGTTCTAGTTTAGTTCTAGTTCAGTTCTATTTTAGTTCTAGTTCAGTTCTTATTCAGTTCTAGTTTATTTCTAGTTCAATTCTATTTCAGTTCCAGTTCAGTTCTAATTCACCTCCAGTTCTAGTTCAGTTTTGGTTTAATTTTAGTTCACTTCGGTTCTAGTTCAGTTGTGGTTCTAGTTATGTTCTAGTTCAGTTCTTGTTCAATTCTAGTTCAGTTCCTGTTTAGTTCTAGCTCAAGTTCTTATTCAGTTCAAGTTCAGTTCTTATTCAGTTTTAGTTCAGTTGTAGCTCAATTTATTTAGATCCATTTAGTTCTAGTTCAGTTCTATTTTAATTCTATTTCAGTTCCAGTTTAGTTCTAGTTCACTTCCAGTTCTTGTTCAGTTTTGTTTTAATTTTAGTTCACTTCGGTTCTAGTTCAGTTCTTGTTCAGTTTTAGTTCAGTTCTAGTTAGTTCTTGTTTAGTTCTAGCTCAAGTTCTTATTCAGTTCTAGTTAAGTTCTGATTGAGTTCTAGTTCAGTTCTAGTTTACTTCAAGTTAAGCTCTAATTAACGTCCAGTTCAGTTTTGGTTTAATTTTAGTTCACTTCGGTTCTAGTTCCCTTCTAGTTTAGTTCAGTTTTAGTTCAGTTCTAGTTCAATTCTACTTCAGTTTCAGTTCAGTTCTAATTCACTTCCAGTACGAGTTCAGTTTTTGTTTAGTTCTAGTTCTGTTCTATAGTTCTAGTTCAGTTTTAGTTGAGTTCTTGTTCCGTTTTCCCATAATTTCCCATAATTCCCTCATTATAAAACACTGGATTTGTTTACATTTTTCTTATAATAATATTTTGTTCTTTTTAAACGAAATAAACTTTATTACTTTGAAATTCTTTTAAAAGTTTCCAAAGAAAAACCCAACAAATGTTGACTAATATAGGAAATGCCCAACATTTGTTGTAAATTCTTTGATAATAGGAGATTGTTTTTCTATAACTACTAATAGCTATTAAATAAATTTAAAACAAAAATTGAAATGAAACAAACAATAATAAATTAATAATAATAAAATATATATCTTTTAAAAATAGAACTATTTAACTAGAGTGATTTTGGTTTATTTTTGTTACAAGGAGAGATATTTCTTTAATTAAGCTTTTGAATAGATTTATGGAATTCCAACTTTTTAGCTGAGATAAGACCACTGGTTAAAAAGCTTAAGCTTTTAGAAAAGAAATTAAAATCTAATAAAAAAAATTAAAAAGGAATATAATAAAGAGTGATAATAAAAGTATATAATTAACATAAAAAGAACAACAAATTGTAATTGAAAACAATAACTAAAAAAAAAAAAAACTAAGACACTAAAATATAAAGCCCCAGCACCAGGCTGTTGAAGATTTATTATTGTTTTTCTACTGCCGCATAATTTAAGCTAATGAGCAAAATACACCAACTATTCCATTAAATGCCCGCTCTTTCTAGAGCCGTTAACTGTTGGCCCAAACGTTCCTCTTTGGCTTTACGTTCCGAACTTAGCTTCTTGCAGTGTGTGTAACTTTGCAAAAATGTTTGCACATCAATTTTACCATTTAGAAATTGCTCCACATGACGTTCACATTCTGTGTCTGCATTGGAGGCAGCTATTTGCAACAGCTCTCTTATATGTTGTGGATTATATTCCTCCGATTTCTTAAGATATTTCTTATTCAATTGATCACATTTTTCGCCTAAATGCTTAAGTGTTGTAACATCATCACTTAGTTTACGTTTCAATTCCACGAGATGGGTTTCCTTGGTTTCATTTTCTTTGGAAATTGATTCTACTTGATTAATCATGGAATCTAGATCCTCATTTAACTGCTGCACCACAGACATTTCCTCTATGAAATCATCAAAGAACTCGGGATCATTGTCCAGCTGTTTAAGTTCATCCAGCGAGAGGGTAGAAAGATTTGGAAAACTGCTTTCATTTAAACGAGGCGAAGTGGATTTGGAGGGATCATGTGGTGAAGTTTCTTTGCTGCTGTTGGTGCTATTCGAGGCACCACTGCTGGTGCCGCTATCCAAAGATTTGGCCACTTGTAGGGGATAGGGATGATGATGATGTGAATGATGGGAATGATGATGTGTCTGAGGCAGCATTGTTTGCTGAGCCCCTAGGGAGGTATTATTAGGCGGGGGTATGTTTATAGGACTGTTGGCCTTAATAACAGGTGGTGGGAAACGTTCAAACTCTCGTATTACAGCCTGTACAACTCGTCCCAAATCTGAATGAGGAGAATACTGGAAAGAGAAATAAAAAGAAAAATGTCAAAAAAAAAAGTGAAAAAAAATTCTCAAAAATGTTAAACAAAAAATTTTAACGATTATTCGATTAATCGAATATTCGGTTTTTTGAATATTCGTCAAAAAATCGATTAAATTGTAAAAATTTTAGCAAATAAAAAAATTGAAAATTAAATGTAAATAAAATTTTTTTAAAAAAATGGAAACGAATAATCGTTTAATCGGGTAACCGCTTTTTGGTATTCCTTTGAATTCCACAATTTTTAACATGAATTTTGATTTTAAGCAAATTAATATCAAAAATTGGGAAAATAATAACATATACAAATTTAATCTAGTAACCGGTTTTTGAATATTCGTTAAAAAACCGATTCAATGTTAAAAATTTTTACCAAAAATTTAAATTGAAAATTAATTCGTTTTAATTTCACTATTTTTAACATAAATTTTGATTTTAAGCAAATTAATATAAAAAATTGGAAAAATAAAAACGAATAATTATTTAATCGAGTAACCGGTTTTTTAATTTTCGTTAAAAAAAACCGAATAAATTTTAAAAATTTTTAGCAAAAATTTAAATTGAAAATTAAATTTAAATAACTATATAAATTTTTGTAAAAAATGGATACGAATAATCGTTTAATCGGGTAACCACTTCTTTGCATTCGTTTTAATTTCACAATTTTTAACATAAATTTTGATTTTAAGCAAATTAATATAAAAAATTGGAAAAATAATAACGAATAATTATTTAATCGAGTAACCGGTTTTTGAATTTTCGTTAAAAAAACCGAATAAATTTTACAAATTTTAAGCAAAAATTTTAATTGAAAATTAAATTTAAATAAATAAATTTTTGTAAAAATGGAAACGAATAATCGTTTAATCGGGTAACCACTTCTTTGTATTCGTTTTAATTTCACTATTTTCAACATAAATTTAGATTCTTAACAAGAAAATATTAATATTTTAAGAAAATAATAACGAATAATTATTTAATCGAGTAACCGGTTTTTGAAAATTCGTCAAAAAAAAACGAATAAATTTAACAAATTTTACCCAAAAATTTAAATTGAAAATAAAATTTAAATATATATATAAATTTTTGTATAAATGGAAACGAATAATCGTTAATCGGGTAACCACTTCTTTATATTCGTTTCGATTTTACTATTTTGAACAAAAATTTTGATTTTAAGAAAAAAATATGTAAAAGATAATGATAAATTTTCAGATAAATAAGAGCGATTAATCGTATAATAGAGTAACCGGTTTTTGGTATTTGTTACATTAGAACAAAAATTTATTATAATTAAAGGTAAAATTTGGTTATTAACAAGAATATGAAGTTTTTGGAACAAAAGTTGGCGAATAATCATTTAATCGAGTAACCGGTTTTTGGTAATCGTTTTAATTTTAAACAAATTTATTATTTTTGAGTAAACTTTGGAATAAAAACAAGAATACAACAATCAAATGCAAAAAGTTATGAAAACTTATGGCGAATAATCGTTTTTACGAATAACCGGTTTTTGAATTCGCTTTTATTTATAAAATTTTTTGGATTTTTTTTTTCAATTAAATTTTAGTTTTTGGCAAGAAAATTTTATTTTTCGCAAGATTTGTAGCGAATAATGGTTTAATCGAATAATTCTTTGAACCTAATAACGATTATTCATTAAACCGATTACCAATTTTCACACAAATTTTAAAACATATTAATATTTAAGGTTTAAACTAACTTTTGTTAGAAGAAATTTGGAAAAATACCAAATTTTTTATTAAGATTAAAAATAAATAATCATTTAGATAGAATATTCGGTTAATCGATGTTTGATTTTCATTAGAAATATAAAAATAATAAATATAATTTTTAATTAAATCACAATATTTTTCAATACAACTTTCACCTCACCCACCAGCAACAAGTTTAAGGTCACTCTACACACTACTACTAGCATACTGGCTTACGGTTTCAATCCAAGTCACAAGATTGGTAAACAAATTTTAAAAATAACAATGTTTGCCTTCAACTTGCTGGCATCCAAGGATAAAACCTTGACGAAAACAAAACAAAACTGACTGACAGTTACTTTTATTGCAAAAGAAAAATCAAACCAGTTAAAGCTTAAAAAAGGAAAATTCAATATTTTGACAAGGTCATTCTTAAATACAACATAACTATGAAGGATATTCGGCACAGACAGAAAAAGAAAAACTTACATTTAACAAACCTGGAGCCGATTCCACCTCACCGGTAGAGGCATTTACCCATAAATGTTGCACCAAAGGGGATAACATCAATTTGGGCTTTTCATTGGGAAAGTTAACACCCAATAAAACGGATAATATGAAATTGCGTCCTCCGGACTCGAAATGTATGCAATATTCTTCCAAATCACAGACCTCAACCACACTGGGGAAAGAAAAATTTATAATTTTCATAAAAATTGATAATTTTTTACAACTTACTTGTCATTGAATACTTTTAAAGTATCAATTTGGCGACGACGATAGTCTAAATTGTTAAATTGCTGAGTTCGCATTAACATTTTTTCTATATTTTATTAAATTTTAATTTTGTTCTTTAAAACCCTCAAATAACAAATTTGTTTTCCTATTTTTGTTGTACAACAGGAGTTAACAAATAACAATTACTTGCACAACATTTAAAAAAAGAAATTGTAAATTAAAAATTTCTAGTAAAATAATTATATTTATAAGTAATTTTTAGAATGTTCTTTGCAAAAAAACAAAGTTTTGTTTTTCTTTTTCTTATGATCACAAATGCAAATAAAAATGTTTTGTCAAAATAAAACACTCACACAAACATATACCAACTCTGCGGCGACAAACAATAACATCTGCGGCAGACACTAACAATTCTGACGGCGGCGAAAAATAAGTTTTCGGTTGTTTTTAAAATTTCCAACGCTTTCAAATAAAAACGTAATCTGAGTGATTAAAAACTGAAATTATGGATGTAAATGTTTTGTAAAATTATCTCATATCATAGATCACAACAAATGCAAATATTTAAACAAAATAAAACACTCAAACAAATATTTACCAAAACATCAGTTTAATACCAAAAACTACAACTCTTCAACGAAAAACAGCCGCTGTCTTCAACAGCTGTTTTTCCCTCTCGTTTTCTTGTTAAAATTCTTTGCACATTTGTTTACATTTTTTTTTGACGGTTTTATATAACTTTATTAAACATTTATTAAAAAATGTCCTTATTCCAAATGAAATGGCTGCGCCGTTTGGTTAGACGTAACACCAACCCTATACCGGAATTACAGGCTGCTTTATGGAAACGCCGCCTGAGTTTAATGTATGCTGTAGTAGCCTGGAATGCTTTTGGTTTTGTCTGCTATATGGCTTTTACGGGACGCAGTGATTGGGCACACTATTATGGTTATAAAACGGATGAAGAGAAGCAAGAATCTCAAGCGGTACAATTCAGTAAACGTTTGAATGTGGAAAAGGGTAAAATTATAAGATATAAGGGCTTTACCAAAGTCGAAGAGAAAGAATTTGATAATACTAACGATAAGGAGAATTAAAATAAAATATTGTTACAAAAATTTAAAAGACCATTTATTTTTTTAATAAAACGTAAAAAAAATATTAAGAAATAATAAATTACAATAATAATTAAATAATTATAATAAAGGAACAAGAAAATAATGTTGAATGTAAACAATACAGCGGTAGATTTAGAGCGTTTTTTCAATATTAAAAGTACGACCATTTAAAAGTGCTGCCCATATACTAGTAACAAAAAACGCTAAAACAAATTAATGCAGGAAAAACGAAAATAACTGTTCTAGACTATAGGCTAAAATAAAAACCAGAAAACTGATTGTATAAAAATCTGTATGCAGATTCGTTTTTAAACAAGAAATCTACTCGGACTCGGTTTATAGAATATTATTTTGTCTAAATAGGCTTTTTTATTACGGAGAATAAATAAAAAAAAATATATTTTTAGTACACTACCGTTACCATTACAAAAATATGCCAATATACCGGTACACTAAAGTACAGATACCGAAATAAGTCAAAATACCGATAACGCTAAGATACCGCTACCGAATTAAGCCAAAATACCGATACCTTATCACCTTTTCAAAACGGTTGCTATCATTGTCTATAGTTCTTCTTATAAACCTTCACCCAAAGATCTTCCACTTTTTTATCTCTCGGATTCCGTCTTTATTTAAATCGTTTAAAATTTAAAAATTAAAAATAGTTGAAAACTTACCCGGCTTACAGTCGATTTAAAGTCGTCGCCGACATTTCTAGTGTCAGTCGCCGCCGCCGTTAATATTTGACGGCGCAGAGCTACGCGCTTGGGTTGTTTAAATTATATTTTTTGTTCTCGCCAAAAAAACGTGAATTATATTTTGTTTATATTTGTATTTTGCTAAAAGTTGTTATAAAAAATTGAAATAAATCTAAAAATATTAAACTATATAATGGATACTTGCATATTATGCAAATCTAATAAAAAAGATGATATACAATATGGAGAATTTTTGAAAAATAAACATTTCGGTGTACACACCTATTGTCTGGTAAGTGTGAAAGGACGAGAAAGTAGCGGCCACTGTAATTTGAGACAACAAAAGGACAAAGGATTTGTAATACATATTTTTATTGTTGTTGTTTTCTAGTATTTATCTTCAAATTTATCACAAAATGGTGCAGATGACGAAGGCTTCTTGGGTTTCTTAGAGGCTGATATTAAACAGGAAGTGCAGCGTATTAGTTTATTGGTAAGTGGAAATGATTTTCTAGATTTCTTAAGGAAATTGTGTGTTAATTTGAGCGCTTTTTTATAGAAATGCTGCTACTGCCATAAAAAATATGCCAATATTGGCTGTTGTAATATGAAATGCCGTCGTACTTTTCATTTTATTTGTGGTTTGGAACATAGTGCTGAAAATCAATTTTGTCATGATTATCGCTCCTATTGCCATAGCCATGCTAAGAAAGTCAAACAGCGACCGTCTCCCAAGGAGACTTGTCTTATTTGTTATGATAATTTGTGCAGCCCTGAAGAGAAATTCAATAGTGTTAATATGATTTTGACTCCTTGCTGCCGTAATGGTTGGTTTCACAAGCTGTGCTTACAAAAGTTTGCCAAGACGGCGGGTTATTTCTTCAAGTGTCCGCTGTGCAATGATTCCGATGTATTTCGTGAAAAACTTCCGGCAAGAGGAATATTTATACCTAATCAGTAAGTTGTTTGTTCACTTTTTTGGAAAATATTTTAAGGATTGGACTATAGTTCAGACCATAGATTAGAATATAGTCTAGACTATGGTCCAGACTATAGACTAGACTATAGTCCAGACTATAGACTAGACTATAGTCCAGACTATAGACTAGACTATAGTCCAGACTACAGACTAAAAAAAAGTCCAGACTATAGACTAGACAAAAGTCCAGACTATAGTCCAGACCATAGACTAGACTATAGTCCAGACTATAGACTAGATTATAGTCCAGACTATAGACTAGATTATAGTCCAGACTATAGACTAGATTATAGTCCAAACTATAGACTAGACTATAGTCCAGACTATAGACTAGACTATAGTCCACACTATAGACTAGACAATAGTCCAGACTATAAACAAGACTATAGACTAGACTATAGACTAGACTAGACTATAGACTAGACTATAGACTAGACTATAGACTAGACTATAGACTAGACTATAGACTAGACTATAGACTAGACTATAGACTAGACTATAGACTAGACTATAGACTAGACTATAGACTAGACTATAGACTAGACTATAGACTAGACTATAGACTAGACTATAGACTAGACTATAGACTAGACTATAGACTAGACTATAGACTAGACTATAGACTAGACTATAGACTAGACTATAGACTAGACTATAGACTAGACTATAGACTAGACTATAGACTAGACTACAGACTAGACTATAGACTATACTATAGACTAGGCTATAGACTAGACTATAGACTAGACTATAGACTAGACTATAGACTAGACTATAGACTAGACTATAGACTAGACTATAGACTAGACTATAGACTAGACCATAGACTAGACTATAGACTAGACTATAGACTAGACTATAGACTAGACTATAGACTAGACTATAGACTAGACTATAGACTAGACTATAGACTAGACTATAGACTAGACTATAGACTAGACTAGACTATAGACTAGACTATAGACTAGACTATAGACTAGACTATAGACTAGACTATAGACTAGACTATAGTCCAGACTATGGACTAGACTATAGTCCAGACTATAGACTAGACTATAGTCCAGACTATAGACTAGACTATAGTCCAGACTATAGACTAGACTATAGTCCAGACTATAGACTAGACTATTGTCCAGACTATAAACTAGACTATAGTCCAGACTGTATACTAGACTATTGTTCTGACCATAGATTATTAACCGTAAATTTTTTTCCTTTCATCAGAGATGCCGCCTGGGAACTGGAACCCAATGCCTTTGCCGAGCTCCTAGAACGACCTAACGAATGTGCCGCCCAAGAGTGTAAAAATCGTAAAGGCCGTAAAGCAAGTAGTGATCTCAATCCTTTCGTAATGTGTAGTACTTGCGGCTCCACAGCTATGCATCGACAATGTTTGCCCAATGGTGGCAAACGATTTCATTGTGCCGATTGTACTATAGCTTTGGAAGAAGGTGACAGTGGACGAGAAAGTCTTAATTTACAATCACAGACGGCAGATAACGAGGAAGAATACATTGATGTGTGTCATGTTAGTGATAAGGAAGATTTAGATATAGTCAACAGATTAATAGGATCAAATAGGAATAAGATGGATAATAAAAGAGATTCCGGAACGCATCATCACAATGATGATGAAGAGAGTACAGATGAAGAAATGGTATTGGCAGCAGTAAGAAGACAAAAACGGGGAAATAACAGACGTTTAAGAAGTGACTCGGAAAACTCAGATTTGCCACAGACCTCGAAAAGCAGAAGAACTTTAAGAATACGAAGTGATACAGAAACAAGTAACGATATTTCAGATGAAGAAATTAAACCTAGAAGTAAAGTTAATATAAGACGTTTAAAAACTGATAGTGAAAGCAGTAAACATGATAGCCGCTCCAGCGATGAAGAGGAAATAAAGCTAACACAACGTAAAAGAAAGTCAACTAATGTTTTAAAGGATTCAGAAGATGAAGAAGAGGCAGTAGGACCAGCTAAACACAAACGTTTAGAGGAGAAGAAAGACCAAATGGAAGATGATAATTTGGAGGAGACTTTAATGAGCGAAGAAAGTGATGAGGATGATGATCCTTTAGAAAATTTCACTAAAATTGTAGAAAAACAAAAGAATATCAGCTGTATAGCATTAAGAACTAGAAGATCTCTTACACAAAATAAACACCAAGACTCAACAAATCAACAACATATGGTGACAACGACTTCTAACGAAAAGGAAAATAAAAAGAATGAAGTTAATTTAACGAATAATCAAAGATTTCCAAATGCAAAAGAAACGAAAAGGGAGAAAAGTAAATTTGTGCCCTTAAAAGATGAAGAAAATCATAAAACCAATTTGGATATATCCTGCATAGCTAAAAGAACTAGACGCAGATCTTTAAATTGTCAAAGTAGTAATAAAACAAACAGTGAAACGATAAAACAACAATCCGAAAATCCCTTAAATATATCCTGCATAGCGGTTAGGACAAGACGTAAAACAATATGTGCCGCAAGCAATTACACGCCACAATCACTTTATGAAATGTCACAAATCTATGAAAAAATCCATGAAACAGATGAAGAACTGCCAACAGAACCAGAAACAGAAGAGGAATCAGATGAGGAATCACAATTACATGAGGTTATGGTCGATACAGATATGGATAATTTCATTGTGGACGATGGTTATGAGGAAAAGGATAGTAAATTTGAAATATCTTGCATAGCAAATCGTACACGCAAGAGGAAATCTTTAAGACCCGATAATAAAACTTTACAATCCATAAGTGAATGTGATTCCGACTGCAGCTCTGCGACAAACAGTAGTTCTTCGGTCAACTCAAATACTCATCTTCTAACGGCTAATATTAACATAAGAAAACGCTGTAATTCTAATTCTTCACAGGAATATAACACATCACCCTTATTTACTAATACCTCTTCCCGTCATGACTTAAAACCTAAAACTATTTCACCTTCTCTTTTGCTGGACAAATTGCCTCAACGTAATTATGCTGCCTATCTTCCCAGCAAATATTCTACAAAATCCTCTTCCGCCTCAACAGATGCTATACATCATTCACGCCAACACTATCATCCCCCCGTTTCCTATCATCCTCATAGTAATAATCGTAAAAGATTTTGAACTTTCAATTTTACTTTGTTTTCTTCTAGAATCTAAATGAAAATCTTTATTTTATTTGTTGTATGATTTTCGGAACTAAATTCTATTATAAATTTGTTATTTTTTATACTGATTTTTCTATATAGCGTTCATAAACTTTACAACTTGTTTTAACAAGGTTTTTCTCTCTATCTCTGTATTAGTCTATAGATATTCTATATTACTTTTACCAAGAAGTATTTTTTTGTGCTATTTTTTTATATGTAATTTAATATACATTTATTCATAATATCTACGGAAACTTCTAAAAATATTTTACTCTAGAGGAAAGCTGTTATGAGACCCTCGTGAGATCTTTGCTGGAAGTGATCTTTTATAAAGTAAGTGAGTCTAAAGTTCGTGTGATCTTCTCTAGACTTATGTGATCTTTAAAGAAATTCAAAAACGTCTTCAAATGTTTTCATGATCTTAAGAGAAATGAAATCAACATGCAGGAGATGTTCCCTCAAATAGAGAGAAAATATAGGAGTTCTTCTCTGGAGTTATACATTCACAATTCAGGTAAGTTTCTTTGGAGTACTGAAAACAGATGATCTTTAAAGAGAAATAAAAAGAAAAAAAATGAAAAGATCTTTAAATAGAAATAAAAAGAAAAAATCAAATAATCTATAGTCTGGTCTATAGTCTAGTCTATAGTCTAGTCTATAGTCTAGTCTATAGTCTAGTCTATAGTCTAGTCTATAGTCTAGTCTATAGTCTAGTCTATAGTCTAGTCTATAGTCTAGTCTATAGTCTAGCCTATAGTCTGGTCTATAGTCTAGCCTATAGTCTGGTCTATAGTCTAGTCTATAGTCTAGTCTATAGTCTAGTCTAGTCAATAGTCTAGTCTATAGTCTAGTCTATAGTCTAGTCTATGGTCTAGTCTATAGTCTAGTCTATAGTCTAGTCTATAGTCTAGTCTATAGTCTAGTCTATAGTCTAGTCTATAGTCGAGTCTATAGTCTAGTCTACAGTTTAGTCTATAGTCTAGTCTATAGTCTAGCCTATAGTCTGGTCTATATTCTAGTCTATAGTCTAGTCTAGTCTATAGTATAGTATATAGTCTAGTCTATTGTCCAGTCTATACTCTAGTCTATAATCTAGTCTATAATCTAGTCTAGTCTGTAGTCTAGTCTATAGTCTAGTCTATAGTCTAGTCTATAGTCTAGTCTATAGTATAGTATATAGTCTAGTCTATAGTCTAGTCTATAGTCTAGTCTATAGTCTAGTCTATACTCTAGTCTATAATCTAGTCTATAATTTAGTCTATAGTCTAGTCTGTAGTCTAGTCTATAGTCTAGTCTATAGTATAGTCTATAGTCTAGTCTATAGTCTAGTCTATAGTCTAGTCTATAGTATAGTCCATAGTCTAGTCTATAGTCTAGTCTATAGTCTAGTCTATAGTCTAGTCTATAGTCTAGTCTATAGTCTAGTCTATAGTCTAGTCTGTAGTCTAGTCTATAGTCTAGTCTGTAGTCTAGTCTATAGTCTAGTCTATAGTATAGTCTATAGTCTAGTCTATAGTATAGTCCATAGTCTAGTCTAGTCTATAGTCTAGTCTATAGTCCAGTCTATAGTCTAGTCTATAGTCTAGTCTATAATCTAGTCTATAGTCCAGTCTATAGTCTAGTCTATAGTCTTGTCTATAGTCTAGTCTATAGTCAAGTCTATAGTCTAGTCTATAGCCTAGTCTATAGTCTAGTCTATAGTCTAGTCTATAGTCTAGCCTAGTCTATAGTATAGTCTATAGTCTAGTCTATAGTCTAGTCTATAGTCTAGTCTATAGTCTAGTCTATAGTCTAGTCTATAGTCTAGTCTATAGTCTAGTCTATAGTCTAGTCTATAGTCTAGTCTATAGTCTAGTCTATAGTCTAGTCTATAGTCTAGTCTATAGTCTAGTCTATAGTCTAGTCTATAGTCTAGTCTATAGTCTAGTCTATAGTCTAGTCTAGTCTATAGTCTAGTCTAGTCTATAGTATAGTCTATAGTCTAGTCTATAGTCTAGTCTATAGTTTAGTCTATAGTCTAGTCTATAGTCTAGTCTATAGTCTAGTCTATAGTCTAGTCTATAGTCTAGTCTATAGTCTAGTCTATAGTCTAGTCCATAGTCTAGTCTATAGTCTAGTCTATAGTCTATAGTCTAGTCTAGTCTATAGTCTAGTCTATAGTCTAGTCTATAGTCTAGTCTATAGTCTAGTCTATAGTCTAGTCTATAGTCTAGTCTATAGGCTAGTCTATAGTCTAGTCTATCGTCTGGTATTTAGCCTAGTGTATGGTCTATCCTATAGTCTAGTCTATAGTCTGGGCTATAATCTAGTCTATAGTCTGGTATTTAGCCTTGTGGTCTATCCTATAGTCTGGGCTATAATCTAGTCTATAGTCTAGTCTAGCTAACAACAATCTGGCAGCTCTTTCATTTAATCTAGTTTAAACTAACTGTCGTAAAAAGTCGATTTAAAAGTCATACATTTCTGTTTCAACAATCTGGCAGCTCTTTCATTTAAACTAGTTTAAATTAATAAAATACCGTTAACAACAAGACGTCATTTATACACTCAGAGAGTAACTCACCTAAACAAACAAAGCTCTTTTTCAGCCACTGAGTAAAAAAAGCTGCGCATTTGAAAAAACAAGCCATAAGAAAAAAGAGCTTTACAAATATTTATTTCTTATTAGAATATGTATTATTTGTTATTGGCTTAAAAGTTCTGATAACAAAAACAACAAAGACAGAAAAGAAATAAAAAGAAAAACACCGAAAAAAAACACAAAAAAGGAAAACTGTGTTACGCGGCCACCGTCAGCCCCAAAAAACACAGTTGCAAATGAAACGCGTAAACGAAAACAACACAATTTAAACGAAAGCGGCGGGTGTTAACTAAAAGTAAAGTTTGACAAATAGAAAAAAGTGAAATAAATTAATAACAAACTAAATAAACAACTTGGTTTTAAAAAAGGAAAAACATAAATTAACAAAATTTTGTTAAGAAATTAAAGAAAATATTAAAATTTACTAAAAAAGGATAGAAGTTAATGAAAAGCAAAGTGTTTTAGAAGTAATAGAGTGTTTTTTTTTGCTACAAAAAGTAAAAGTTGCTTTGAAATTATTAAAATTGTGAGAATTTTTAAGCAAATTATACTAATTAAAGTAATTGCAAAGTAATAAAACAGCTGTTTTGCATATAAAAAATTATTAAACAAATATTAAATAATATTAAATAATAATATTTCACAGCTGCAAGAAGAAAAGAAAAAAAAAGAAGTGCGAAGTTATTGTGTCGTGTTAACAAGGTTAAACTTGTGTTATTTATTTAGTCTAAAGCTAAATAAATATTAATTATTTAATAAATATTTAAACAGAATTTTCATATTCACATATTCCTTGGGCCACCGCCATTAACAACAACAACATTTTAGCAGGGTAAATATTACAAGATTTTTTTACTTTAAAACAAGAGAAATACATTACAAACAACAATAACAAGTTTAAGAAAAGAATTTTGTGTTAAAAGTAGGAAAAGAAGTAGTCAAGAAAACAAAAAAGAGCTAAAAAGAAAAGAACAAAAACAAACACAAACGTCACATCATTATTAAACCACCTTCTTTCATTCATTCGCTTACCACCAACAAGTGTGTTGCTGCAACAAGAACAACAACAAAAACTACAAGAAACAAACGATGACAACGTCAGAGTAATAAAAAAACCCCCACACCTTTTCTTTTTCTCTTGCACAAACACACTCAAACATGGTTAAAATAAAAGAAATCCATCGTCCTCTTTATACTCCTCTTCAGGCATGGAAAATGTAATAATATAGTACTTTTTACAGCAGTTATTGACTAGAATATATACTAAACTAGTCTAGTCTAGAGTCTAGTCTATAGTTTAGTCTATAGTCTAGTCTATAGTCTAGTCTAGTCTAGTCTATAGTCTAGTCTAGTCTAGTCTATAGTCTAGTCTATAGTCTAGTCTAGTCTATAGTCTAGTCTATAGTCTAGTCTATAGTCTAGTCAATAGTCTAGTCTATAGTCTAGTCTATAGTCTAGTCTATAGTCTAGTCTATAGTCTAGTCTATAGTCTAGTCTATAGTCTAGTCTATAGTCTAGTCTATAGTCTAGTCTATAGTCTAGTCTATAGTCTAGTCTATAGTCTAGTCTATAGTCTAGTCTAGTCTATAGTCTAGTCTAAACTATAGTCTAGTCTAGTCTAGTCTATAGTCTAGTCTAGTCTAGTCTATAGTCTAGTCTAGTCTAGTCTAGTCTATAGTCTAGTCTATAGTCTAGTCTAGTCTATAGTCTAGTCTAGTCTATAGTCTAGTCTATAGTCTAGTCTATAGTCTAGTCTATAGTCTAGTCTATAGTCTAGTCTAGTCTATAGTCTAGTCTATAGTCTAGTCTATAGTCTAGTCTATAGTCTAGTCTATAGTCTAGTCTATAGTCTAGTCTATAGTCTAGTCTATAGTCTAGTCTATAGTCTAGTCTATAGTCTAGTCTATAGTCTAGTCTATAGTCTAGTCTATAGTCTAGTCTATAGTCTAGTCTATAGTCTAGTCTATAGTCTAGTCTATAGTCTAGTCTATAGTCTAGTCTATAGTCTAGTCTATAGTCTAGTCTATAGTCTAGTCTATAGTCTAGTCTATGTCTATAGTCTAGTCTATAGTCTAGTCTATAGTCTAGTCTATAGTCTGTCTATAGTCTAGTCTATAGTCTAGTCTATAGTCTAGTCTATAGTCTAGTCTATAGTCTAGTCTATAGTCTAGTCTCTAGTCTTGTCTATAGTCTTGTCATAGTCTATCCTAGCTCTAGTCTAGTCTATAGTCTAGTCTATAGTCTAGTCTATAGTCTAGTCTATAGTCTAGTCTATAGTCTAGTCTATAGTCTAGTCTATAGTCTAGTCTATAGTTAGTATATAGTCTAGTCTATAGTCTAGTCTATAGTCTAGTCTATAGTCCTAGTCTATAGTCTATCTATAGTCTAGTCTATAGTCTAGTCTATAGTCTAGTCTATAGTCTAGTCTATAGTCTAGTCTATAGTCTAGTCTATGTCTAGTCTATAGTCTAGTCTATAGTCTAGTCTAAGTTCTAGTCTATCTATAGTCTAGTCTATAGTCTAGTCTATAGTCTAGTCTATAGTCTAGTCTATAGTCTAGTCTATAGTCTAGTCTATAGTCTAGTCTATAGTCTAGTCTATAGTCTAGTCTATAGTCTAGTCTATAGTCTAGTCTATAGTCTAGTCTATAGTCTAGTCTATAGTCTA